ATATATAAATATATATGTAAATATATACACACACACATGTATATATGTACATATATAAATATATATGTACATATATACACCCACACATATATGTGCATATATGTACATATATAAATATATATGTAAATATATACACCCACACACATATATGTGTATATATGTACATATATAAATATATATATATAAATATATATACATATATAAATATATATATACATATATATCTATATAAATATATATATATACATATATAAATATATATATAAATATATATTACTGTAAGTAAGTCGGTTTACTTTAGCAGGGCAGCGTTTCTTCTGCGCTGACCTGTGTTTGGTCTGTGACTGCAGACGCCGATCCACCGACAGAGAAGCCATGCCTTTCCTGCATGGGTTTCGAAGGATCGTGTACGAGTACCAGCCGCTGGTCGATGCCATCATGTGTGTTCTTGGACAAGGAGAAGGAGGAGGAGGAGGACAAGGGGACGGGGACGGTGAAGAGGACAGGTAGAGCTGCAGCTGTTTGCGTTGACGATTAGGATTTATTCACGGTAAGAATACGCCACTGTGGTCCTTGACAGACGCGAGGACGACTCCAGAGTCTCCGTGTCTCTGGTGGAACTCCTGGATCGGGAGTCTCAGTCGGATGTGTTCCACGAAGGCATCAGCTACGCTCTGTTCAAAGTGGCGGGGGGGGGCCTGGTGAGCGCCGCCCAAATCCTGCTACGCTACGGGGCCTCCTTAAACTTTGAAGGTAAGGAATGAATCTGGAGGACATACGATCTCAGGGACAACCGCGTGATGTAGTCGAGTCCCGCGCTATTTCGCGGATTCACGACTTCGCGTTTTTTTTTTTTGAATACTCTATATAAAAAATATACCGTATCCCGGATTTGGATCTGCGAGAGACGTCACAGGAATGGGACGACGATACGGTTCGATCGGTCCAATTTTCGCAAAACAAAACCGACAATGTCGTGACCGCCTACTAGCTAGCCTACGACTGGAAAAAGAAGCAGCGGAAGCAACTGCCGATCGCAATGTTCCGGCAGCCTCGCAAAAAAAGATCCGGTTCCTGCTACTACTACTACTACGGATACACCTTCGGAAACAGTGGACGAGGTGCCCCAAGAAATGGCACCACCTTGTGGAGAGACGTAGAATCAATCATCGGCTAACAGACATAAATACGATGTAGCTACTTTGCGGAAATTCAGTTCTCGCGGCAGGGCCTTGGAACCGATCGACCGCGATAAACCAGGTACTGGTATCGCTGTACTGCGATATCTATCGACTTATGAAGTACTGCATGTTGTGGTTGATGATATTTGTGCGTCCGTGCCTGCCCCCTACTGGACGACTGATGTGCGTCTCGCTCCTCAGATCCAGTGTCCTACTACAACCCACTGCATATCGCGGTCCTGCAGAACAGAGCGGACATGGTGAAGCTGCTGGTCGGACATGGAGCTGACGTGGAGAAGAGAGACAGAGTGAGTCAGAGTGAGACACCCCCCGTCCCCCGTCCCCGCACAGTCTTCAGTCTGAAGCTGAGCGTCTGTGGTTCGTCTGTCCTCCCGCAGATCCACGAAAGCAGTCCCCTGGATCTGGCCACCGAGGAGGCGGAGCGGCTGCCGTGTCTGCAGGCGCTGCTGGACCTGGGCGCCGATGTCAACGCCAGAGACAAATACGGTACGGTACGGTACGGTCGTGTCCCTCAGCTCCGTCGTCTTCGGTCGGTCGGTCGGTCAGTCGCTCACTCGTCCTGATCTGTGGTTCTGTTCTGTCCCTGAAGGAAAGACGCCTCTGCTCCACGCTCTGTCCAGCAGCGACGGTCTGACGGTGCTCAACACGGACAGCATCAGGCTGCTCCTCCAGAGAGGTACGCTACATCGGGGGGGTGGGGGGCTAAATATATACATACATATATATATATATGTATGTATGACCCTCATATGTATGTATGAGGGGGAGGGACCAGTTAAAGA